TTAGCATTTATATTCCTTCTCCCACTACTAACCCATCAGCCTTCTGTTTTAACTACATGCTTATTATTTGGAGCTCGCATGAATGCAATGGGAACCTTCACAGTTGCCTCTATATATTCCCCTGAGGTAAGCCATTTCGGTGACACTCCCTAAATGCCAATTTCCTTTTTCACATAACTAAAGCTATTGTTTTTCATGTAGCTATATCCGACATCGGTGCGAACAACGGGAGCCGGAGTTGCAAGTGCGATAGGAAGAATCGGTGGTATGGTATGTCCTCTTGTTGCAGTCGGATTGGTGAATTCGTGCCATCAAACAGCAGCTGTAGCTCTGTTTTTGGTGGCTATAGTTGTTTCGATAGTTTGTATCCAGTTCTTCCCCTACGATACCAAGGGAAGGGAACTTAGTGATACTAACTGATGGCAAGTAAGACATATACTGTGCTGTCCATAGTTTGTGTTTTTAATGGAAATAAGTTGTTCTCTAGTCTCTACCTGTATTGATATTTGAAGCTGGTGGAGATGTAATACATAGGCTAAAAACATCTACTTGTTTGAAAATATGGTATGATTCAGCTCTTCCTTGTTCCTTTTGCCACTTAATTTGTTTGTTGTGCACGTTTCTTTTATTACATAATTCCTTTTGCTACTTGATATTTTGTTGTGCACGTTTCTTGTATTACATACATTTGATGGATGTTTGCAATTAATCAAAGGTCTATACTCTCGTCTTTGGAAATATAATAATATTAAATATTGGATAAAAGGAATTTGTCATTTTTATAATCTTATTTAATTTGATAAAATTAATTTATATTGAATAGTATGAATGCGCTTCCCATCATTAAATAATGTAATCGATGACGGCATCTTTGGAACATTTACTGGTACAAACGATTATCTCGAATACTTACATTGAGGTATTGACAATGATTCTCAAAAGCTAATAATTTTTTATATACATAATTATAAAAAAAAATATCTTTTAATGTTTGACTGAATAATCACTTTAATTTTTGTTATTTTTTTTTTCAACTTTTTAACTTCTAATGTTTTATTTTGAGACAAAATATTTTTGATTGGACGAAAATTGTTAGTTGACTAAAGGTTAACATTTGTTGTTGACCTCTTATGTGTTTAAAGTGATGATGTGACATATATCTCGTATACATAAGTGATAATGTAGCATATGTCATGTCATCACTTTGGACACAAAACTCACCACATTAGTGATAAAGCATAATGATTTTCATTAAATAAGATAATATTTTATCTAAAATAAAATGGTAGAAATTAAAATACCTAAAAGAATTAGGGACTAAAATGATAATTTTATTAAAAATTAAGGGTAAATTTTCACATTATTTCTATATATAAAAAAAGCAAATACATAAGCTTAAGAATAAACAAATTTGAAATGGATGCATTTCAAAGGTAAGACCAAAAGAGGTGAAGAACAAAACGAAACTTAAGGGTTGTTTGTTTGCCTCTTAATGAAATCATTCAGCGTTGAATGTTGAACCGTTCAACATTCAGCGCGTTTGTTTCGCACCTCTGAATGATTCAGTGCTGACTGATTCAGCAAAACAATTTTGAATGATTCAACACAGAAGTACATTCTGAATGATTCAGAGTCATTATCAAACAACATGTCACATTCAGAGCTAATTCATACAAAGCCTCTAAATCATTCAACATTTGAATCATTCAGCGCTTAATCATTATGAAGTAAACAAACAACCCTTTAAATGATTTGACGAGATAAGGGAAGAAGCATAGTAGGGATATGAGAGATAATAGAAGAAAATTCAGGGGCATTTTAAACAAATGAAACTTTCTTTTAATTAAGAAGGTTATAAATTGCAATTGGTCTTTGGTGATTTAATTATGTTTTTAATCTTATATTTGAGTTAAATATTCAATTAGTCCTCGAAGTTATTGATTTTTTTATAATTTCGTTGAAAAATAATGTTAACGAGTATTAGTTGGCCAAGTAAAAAGTACTCCGTAACCCATTCATACAAACAACTACTTCCTCATTCATATATTTTCTTTTGTTAAATTTGAGTTTCCCAAAGGTTTCAATTTTGGTGTGGGATTTTGTTCTTAATCTTAAATTTTCAATTGTTTTATATAAATTTTATTAATATACAAAGTTAGTTGATCAATATCTCGTTGATTTAATGGTATTAAACATTAGATATCTTAAGTAAGATTAGATATTCAAATTCTAATATCATTAATAGAATAAACTGAATTAAGAGACTCTCCATAATAAATCTCTACAATATTTGATTTTAATTAATTATCAATAAATTACTTAACTGTGGTTAAACTAAAATATATATTGAAGGCCAGATATTATTATTTTTACAATGATATTAATTGTTTGTGTCAGCAGAAATGAAGTTGTAACAATAATATTTTTATTCAACCCTCTCGAAATGTTTGAAAGTTTTAATATTATTGTAGAAGCATTTTAATCCAAAATAATAGGAATTCTTCAAAGTTTTAGATATTATTGTAAAAGTATTTTAGTTCAAAATAATAAGAATTGTTCATTGTCTAAGAAAAAGGTAGAAATGAGAGTCTACATTGAGGGAAAATAACACTATTGGTTATGGGAAAATTTTACAACGTATGTTATACACCGAAATACATTACTAATGTGATATATCGGTGCATACCACTAATTAAATTGTCCTTATTACATAAATATGAAAAAAATATAGTGATCTATACATAATTAATCCTTTACTATCATCTAGTTTAAATTTTAATACGAATATAATTAAATTATATTTTTTTTATTAAAAATTATAATTATTCGAGATTTTTTATTTATTTATGATTGAAACACTTCATTATATAAATTTTCATATTCATCCCAACAAACAATCATTAGAATCAACCGCTAACGATTCTATTCATCGCTGGAATATCATATTTTTTCAACCTCATTTTTAAATTCTCGTTCACCCTGTTCCCACCTATTTTTAGTTACTTTACAATCGCCCCTCTTCCATCTTGTAAGAAACATTTATAAACAACCTCAAATTCACATTTACCCAAAAGATTATGGTCTAAAAAAATATTCGTAGTATCAGTTAGTTCTTCGTACGTAAACAATGACTTCAAATTGCCTAAACCGATGGGTTCAACCATCATTGGTGGTGAATGCACAAAATCACTTCCAAAACTAATTTCAATGAGAGGAGTTGAAGAGTGTGTCTTTGTATAACATTGATCAAAATAAGAACTCCAATTACATATAAATCGAAAATCATCAATAATTCCTTAAGTAACTGAATAAACCAATATGCAGCTGTGAAAAAATTTACATAATCTTGGGAAGAGCCTAGTGGGGATGACATACATAACCACATGTAAGTAACATACATAACCACTCGTAAAAGTTATGATTCTACATTGATATATTTTGGGGGAGGCACACGCTCTTGCAAATTATGATTCGCTTACTGTTCAGTTTTTCCTTTTCTTTCGAAACTATTGTTCCTCCATGCATCTATGCAGTGCTTTTTTGGATGAATGAAGGCGCGATTTAAATTCAAAAATATGTTATATTACTTTCTTATTATTTATACTAATAGCTTAACAGTAATTATATTTTATGAGAATACATTTATCTAACTATTGTTTTGATTCGATGAGTTTACTTGGTTTGAAATTATCGTTAAAAAGACTAAATTAATGGAACTATTAAATATGAATGGTTGGATTTATTAAATTATTTCAAGTTAGGATAAAATTGATATAATGTATAAATTTTAGGGACTAAAAATATTATTATACCAGGTCACATTAGAAATCTGTTTCAATTTTAAAGACAATTGAGTGATATGTTTGTAATTTTTTTTAAAATGACATATTTATTACAGAATCCACCCTAGGTGTACTTTATTCAGGGATGAAGATTGGGTCCAAATTCGAGTTACGACTCCATCTAATTATGTATTTTTTTAAAGAGTTGAGATAAGTTTCTTTTTGAAGGATTAAGTCAAATCAGATGGAATTTCTAATAAAAATTATGATCTAATTTGAGATAATATTATAATTATTTTTTAATGTATTTAGAGACAATTACAACAAATACTCTGTCATATATATTTTTAGTTAAATTTATATTTTACTTAATAAAAATATTTTTTTATATATATTTAGAAAAAAAATTAAGTTGGATATAAATTTTCACCTAAAAATTTAGATCAAAATTTTAGGTCGATAAAAACTCCATCCCAACAATGCTTAAAAAAACTAATGCATTCAAAACTAATCAATTAAGGTATGTAAGATTACCAGTGGGAATAAAATATTATTTGAGAATAGGATTACTAGGAATGTTGTATTTTGTGTTTGGTTGGTTTAGCAGGAATGTGAGATTACAGTGTTTGGTTAAATGAATAAAAGATTATTGAAATATATATTTTACCAAATTGTCCTTATTATATATTTATTTTTTAACAAGTTGAATTCTATTATAATATTACTATAATTAATTTATATATTTTCTTTAAAAATTTTAAATTCATAAAATTTATATATTTTTTTTTATAAAATTGAAAAGATAAATAGGTTTAATGAAATGATAAAATTTTATTTTAATCCCTGAATTTCATATTAAATTTTAATTATAGATTTTTTTTTATAAATCTAAAATAGTTTAAGAATAAATTTATAATTTAATCTTCGTAGAATTTTTATTATTCAACGACATAATAAGGATATTTTTAAAGAAAAAAATTAAGAACATTTTAATCTAAAACACCGACAATTTAATAATACCTAAAAAAAATTAATCACATTCTCAATAATATACCTAAAATATCAAGATAATAAAAAATTATCGGGCTCAAAATATGGACCAAAAAATGAGATACTATTCCCCCAATAATCTTATATTAGCTAAACCAAACACCCTCTTAGACATCCGAGTTGATTGGGGTTTTACCATCCTCATAAAATATACGAATAGTCTTCTTGGTTACTATGGCCCTTTGGCTAGTTTTAGTTTAGAAAAAAAAGGAAAAAAAAAGAGGAACAGGTGAAAACCGTGAGGGAGGGGCTGGCAAATTGGAAACCACCCCGGAGAGACTCAGCTGAGAGTGGGTGGATCTGAAATCCTGGGTAAAACTTGAAATTGGTGTAGAAATTCCGAAGTTGTCTGTCGCACTTGCAAGTTAACTGTCAAGTAGTTTATAACCAGATTAGATCGTATCAGATCCAGGAGAAAATGCTACGGCTCAAGGCATTTCGAGCCACCAATGAGAAGATTGTGAAGATAGCGGTGCATCCCACACATCCATGGTTGGTGACCGCCGATGCCTCTGATCACGTCTCCGTTTGGAACTGGGAGCATCGCCAGGTCATTTACGAGCTCAAGGCCGGTGGGATCGACCAGAGACGTCTCGTTGGTGTCAGATTGGAGAAGCTTGCTGAGGGCGAATCTGGTTCGCAATCCAATTCTTTTTTTTTTCATCGTATTTTGTTTGGGTTTTATTTGATATGATTTTACAAATTCGCAGATTCTAAAGGGAAACCTACGGAGGCCGTACGCGGAGGGAGGTGATTAGTAACTAGTGGAGCCCTCTTTTTCCTTTCTTCAAATACAGTTAAACAGTAAAATTGAAATCTTGACCTTTTTCTTTTGATGAATTGTTAATAGTGTTAAGCAAGTGAGCTTTTTCGATGATGACGTGAGGTTTTGGCAACTTTGGCGCAATCGTTCTGCAGTTGCCGAGGCTCCCACGGCTGTCAATCATGTTACTTCGGCTTTTGTCTCTCCGGCTCCATCAACTAAAGGAAGGCATTTTCTTGTCATCTGCTGTGAAAACAAAGCCATCTTTTTGGACTTGGTCACGATGCGCAGCCGTGATGTACCCAAACAAGAGCTTGACAACAAGTCTCTTCTTTGGTGAGCTATCTTTCACATAGCTCATTTTTGAATCATCTCCATTGCCATATTTTATTTACTTCATATATATTTACTATAATAGGGAAGTAAACTTTCCTCTACTTTATGCTACATTCATTTGCTGACCAAAAATTCTAGACTTTCAGCTTCTCATTCTTTGTTCCATGCTACCTTTAACTGCCAATGCTTTCATCAATCATATCCTCGGATCACCTGCAAGACATTTTGATTTCATTGTCTGCGAACCCTCTTTCCCATTTTCGGTGTTGTTACTGCCTTTCTTCGACTTCTGATTACTTCCATTCTTCTATCATCAAATTATTACAAATTATTAAGCCTTTAAGTAGCTTTTATAGTATCTATAATCTTATTCCATCTGCTTTTATTGTTAGGCATAGGTTACAAACTATACATATGGTGTTGTTAATGTTAATTTTCTTCTACCATCCCTCAACGCATTCTCACAATATACTGTTATACTCTGATTAACTAGTGTCCTTATTTTCTATTTTTTTCCCTGACAGTATGGAGTTCCTATCTAGATCGTCTGCTGGTGACAGTCCTCTTGTTGCTTTTGGTGGATCAGATGGCGTTATTAGGGTTCTTTCAATGATGACATGGAAGGTTTATTTTTTATTTTTTTTTCACATTCTCTAACTAATAAACCGCTTAACCGTTTATTGTTTATTTTCTAGCAGATTTTATTATGAAATTGTCATTATTATTTTCTGGAATTCATTTTATTTCTGGCAGCTTGTAAGAAGATACACAGGAGGTCATAAAGGATCAATTTCTTGTTTGTTGACTTTCATGGCTTCTTCCGGCGAGGTAGGTCGTATTTTCAGAAAGAATATATGCAATGCCTTTTGTCAATTCTCATTCTTAAAGATTAAAAATTTTACCCAACCATGAGCAATGCATGTGAGTTGATTATGTGTTTATGATGATGTTTACCTTTAAATTCTGTTAGTTTTACTGGAAATTGTTGCTACTCACAAACAATTTTAAGATTTCTTTTATGTACAAAAGTTCATCTCCTATGTTCTTCATATATTTCATCTTTCACATCAATATTGAGGTTTGTCCTTCTCAGACGTGCAAATTTAATACCATAATGCTTTGTAAATACATAATGAAAATTGACTGCACGTATAATAAATTATAATGCGACTGTTGATTTCAACAATCTTGATATTAGTTTTATTTTAGATGAGATCTTGATGGGAGCTTCATCTCATATCCCAACATGAAGCGCCAAGCCCCTAATAGTTCTCTCAAACTTAACTATGAAACGGTAGTTACATTGCATCAATGGCAATAACTGTCAATGACTTTGTATCTATTTCTTGTTAGAGTATTTATTTATTACTTTTCAAGCTTCTTTTAGGAGGATATTAGATAGTTTATTTATTTTTTGTCTCCGGTTTCATGTAACTTGAATGTATTTAGGAGAACATTAAGTTGTTTGGGCTTTCCAAGTTACATTTCTAAGATTCCATTTTTTTTTGCAATAATACTTTTACATAATAGTTATGACATATTTGAATACATGCTCATACCTTGAAGTTTGGCCTCTTGTGATTTAAGATTATCATAATTCTTTTTCATCGTTTGTTTACTATTTCATTTGCAGGCACTTCTTGTTTCAGGTGCCAGTGACGGTCTGCTTATTCTTTGGAGTGCAGACCATGGTCAAGATTCAAGAGAACTTGTACCCAAGCTAAGCTTGAAGGTTCTTATATCTTTAATTTTGGAAAATTTCTCCTACTTAAAGACTACTAATCAACACAGTAAACAATTAATTTGTTCATTTCAAAGTTTGAATTCGATAGATTATAATTAAGATCAGCTAAAATGTTAGATTGCTATATTTTTCCTGGGCAACTTCAATTGCCAACCAATAATAGAAAATAATAAGGTGCTTTTGGGATTGTATCACTTAATGTTTTATTTTTGTTTATTCTTGTGAAGTATTGCAATGTTTAATGAGTGTGGTACCGTGATTTAAACGGTTCTTTCTTTTGTTAGAATTTATTGATATATTTCTTTTTTCGTGCTTCCACTTAGCCTTTTAGAACCTATTTTGTGTGCATGCTTTCTTGACGGACCTTCTTCGGGAAAGTTTACATCTTTATTGTATCAAATAGGCACATGATGGTGGAGTTGTTGCTGTTGAGCTTTCTAGAGTTATTGGGGGAGCTCCCCAGCTAATTACAATTGGAGCAGATAAGGCATTGGCCATATGGGACACAATCTCTTTTAAGGTTTTCAGCTTCCCCTTGTTAAGTTTTAACAATTGTGAATAGCACTTGGTATGACTTAATTTTTTTGGAAAGGTACACTTGGCATGACTTTCAAAATAAAGGGTTGGCATATTTCTCTTTTGATCTTGTTAAGTTCTTTGCTACAGGAGTTGAGGAGAATTAAGCCTGTTCCTAGACTTGCATGTCACAGTGTGGCATCTTGGTGTCACCCTCGAGCACCTAACCTTGATATTTTGACTTGCGTCAAAGATTCCTATATATGGTATGCTAATTTCTTGGTTCTCGCTCCCAGTAAATACATTTTTATTTTTATTAGAAAATATTTATAGTTTTTTTAATACTATTGCTCTTGCTATAGGATAGTTATAGAAGGTCATGTGCATTAAATAATGAATATGTAAGGCAGTATTGTTTATTTATTATTGCAAGGATCTCATAGTTACAGTTTTTTTGTTTGCAGGGCTATTGAGCATCCAACTTATTCAGCTCTTACAAGACCATTGTGTGATCTGTCTTCTCTTGTTCCTCCTCAAGCAGCTGCTCCAAACAAGAAACTTAGGGTATTTATCTGTTTTTTTGTTGTGATCCTAGAACCGCAATGAACTGTTTTACTTTTATTTTTTTCCCATTGAAGATAATTATTAGTTTCTTTTTTACCCTAGAACCTTATTAAGTTTCATGCTCTTAATGTCTTATTCAGTATCAATATTGTTGAAGCCTAATTGAATTAGTTATAGACGAAAAAGATTTACATAGATAACAAAATGACCTGGCTCTTTTGAGTAATTTCTAATTCCCTGCATAAGAGCCCAACTGAGGATGTAGAAGACTTTTTATCAAAAAAAAAAGGATTTAGAAGAATGTGTTGGCACATCATTAGTTGAACCTCTGCTTGCTATAATTTGTTTTATGTAAGATGGTTTCTATTCTTTGGATATCTCTGAAAATTTAGAAACTAAAGCAGCAAAATATAATAATAACAACTATATTTTTCTTAATAATGAAATATAAATCTTCACCACGAATTTGGTTATTTTTTCCTGAATGAATTTGACCTTTATTTTATTGCCATTCCTTTTAATACAGCTGGATGTTTCTTTCCTTTCTTCCCATCACCTGATCTCTTCCTTAGCAATGTATGTTTTTGACTTACAAGTTTTACTGCAGGTTTATTGCATGGTTGCACATCCTTTACAGCCTCATCTTGTTTCTACCGGAACCAATATTGGTATTATTGTCAGTGAATTTGATGCTAGGTCACTTCCTCCTGTAGTTCCTCTCCCGACACCTGCTGGAAGTCGAGAACATTCTGCTATCTACATTGTTGAAAGAGAACTGAAGCTGTTAAACTTTCAGTTGTCTAATGCAGCAAACTCTTCGCTTGGAAATAATGGCTCCTTATCTGAAACGGGAAAGATGAAGGGAGATTCACTTGAAGCATTGCATGTGAAGCAGATTAAAAAGCACATCAGTACACCTGTTCCACATGATACATATTCAGTTCTTTCTACAAGCAGTTCTGGAAAGTAAGTAATCTCTGACCTTTTCTATTGGCCAAAAAGAAAAAAAAAGTGATTTTTGCTTCAACATGTCTATTGTTGGTTTACTAAGTTCATGTTTAAACAAGCTGTAGTAGATGATCTTGGATGCATGGTTCATTTACATATTTCATGACCAGTTTGGATTCTTAATACCTCTTGTTATCTCCTCCCATCTAGAAGAGGAAAAACAAGAAATATCTATGCTGATATGCTCTTGTACAAGTCAGCTACAAATGCATCCTACTTTGCTACATCCATTCTCACATGTTATATGATCGGATGGAGAAACTTCAGTTGAAATAAATTTATAGTGGCATTAATTCTTAAGTGTAAACATATGTGCAGGTATCTTGCAATTGTGTGGCCCGATATTCCTTATTTTTCAATCTACAAAGTCAGCGATTGGTCCATTGTTGATTCTGGAAGTGCAAGGCTTCTATCTTGGGATATATGTTCTGACAGATTTGCTATATTAGAGTCTGCATTACCTCCTAGAATGCCCATTGTCCCCAAGAGCAGTTCATCAAGGAAAGCTAAAGAAGCAGCTGCAGCTCAGGCTGCGGCTGCAGCTCAGGCTGCGGCTGCAGCTCAGGCTGCTTCTTCTGCTAATGTTCAAGTTCGTATTTTGCTGGATGATGGAACGTCGAACATATTAATGAGGTCCATTGGCAGCCGAAGTGAACCGGTATCTTGATCTCCTTGCTTAGTGTTTACTGTTTTTTTCAATAGAGTTAGGGTCATTCTCTATACATTTGTTCTTAGATTATGAAGAAAGATGGTTTCTTAATTGTATGTAACAATCTTTCCCACGATTTGTGTTGTCCTTAATCATGTTAGGCACATTCTTCATTCTATATGAAAAATAAATGGCCTATGATATTTTAGCCTGTTGTCAACTATTGTTAGGATTTTCAGTCTTGCTGGTAGAGTTCATACTTTCAGTATTGAATAATGCTTAAGATTTCGTACTATTAAACTTGCACTTGTTTGTCAGTGCTCTACTTCCTTGATTGCTGCATTCCACATGGTTAGTTTCCTATCTTAACTTGAAAATTTCGCAACTTAGGTCATTGGGTTGCATGGTGGGGTACTTCTTGGCATTGCCTATCGAACACCTCGTAAGATTAGTCCTGGTGCTGCGACGGCTATATCAACAATTCAGTCTATGCCATTGTCTGGATTTGGAAGTAGTGGTTCCTTTGCTACTTTTGATGACGGATTCTCTTCTCAGAGATCTCCTGCTGAGGCACTGCCTCAAAACTTTCAACTTTTCAGGTGAAAAATTATTGCCATGCATGTCTTTAACATGATTCTGTTGTTGGGTATATTGTACTGCTTTTATTTGGTCTTCTGGATGCCATGATGTTGCCCAAATTTCTCTACTTAGGTCATTGGCCTGCTTTAATCGGATTTTCCTATAAGTTTTGCATAAGGTTGAAATGGTAATTATGTATTTAACCTATGACTATTGGGAACTCAAAACGCACTGGTCCATTGTACAGGAAAAAGACATGCCATGTGATAAAATTTTGGTGCAAGGGGCATAGGCTTAATTAGTCTGCTAGTATGGATAATGAGTATCCTTTAAATCAATTAGTTTGCAAATATTTTTTTTTCCATCTATTTAGTTTTTTGAAGATCCTATCAGTTCGGTATCTAAGCCCACAAAAGATCCAATAATGGCCACTGCCAACTAATGTGAAAGGCCTAGAAACAAACATGGGGTACCATACTGCCAAATAGTCATCTTGGGTAGATGACGACAATGTAGGGATGTATTTACGATGGTGGGTTAAAAAACCCTCTTCTAGGCCTCATGTTAAGATGGAATTCCTTAGGTTTTGACGGGGCGATCCGTGATCTTCATGGTTGGATTTTAAAGGCTGAAAAATATTTCCTGTACTATTAGAGGTTGACATTGCTGCTATGTATTTAGAAGGTGACTCTTGATCTTTTTGCTTGGGTTAACAATAAACACTCTCTTTTATAATGGGAAGAGCTTGACAAAGCAACCTAGGAAAATTGTGGTCCCACAGAGTTCCGAAACCTAGATGAACATCTCTATGGCTTCTGACAAGCAGGCATGATACAAGACTACCAGCAAGGATTCGCCAAATGTTCTGCCCTAGTCAAGAACTGGCCTGAACCGTCTGAAGTCTAAAGTTAGATTACCACTTGTCCACTTGACAGTTTAAATTCAAAAGTTAGTGAGAGAAGCTCCACCTTCTTTCTTGATTGTAGGCGACCTAACTTTGGCGTTTTGTCTCTTTCTACACTGACTCCCTCTCCCTTTTCTCTAGGCTGGGAGGTTCGGCGGCCGTTCAAAACTTCATCACCGTCGTCAGAAGCCACGCCAGCCGCCATCACTGGTGGCCGTTGACCATCAAAACTTCACAGTATGCTCGCTTCGATGTCAGCAACAAGGATTTAGGCTTCGTTTCACGTGACACAACCTACTTCAAAGCAGATCTCAGTCGAGAACCACCGCAGTAGCCACCATCAACGGTAGTTCTGAGACACAATTAACCTTGATAAATTCGCTCCGACACCGGGAATCCATAACTGAGTTCGGATTCTGAAGGAACAATCCCCATCTTCACAAAAACGACGAAAATCGAAGCAGCTTGGAATGTTCCGATCTCCTTCTATAGTCGTTGGATTTCGTCCCGAATCCGAGGTAGGTTGCTCCCGGGGATTTTCTATGCCTTCTCACCTATGGGATTAACCAATGGAGAGCCCATATAACGATTAATGGCTACGTCCGAGAATTTTGGTTCAAAGAGGGTAGCTACGAGGCGAATAAGGGTTCTACAAACACAGTCGGGTAATAAATCTTCCACTGATTGTATCCAAAAGAAGACTTAGGATGCGTCGGTTTCCTATTGTGAATGTAAGGATCCACTTGTTGCGAAGAAAAAGGGCAATGGTGGTTCTAGTATTAATCGGCAGCAGCCATTGAATGGATCTTTGAGCGACAATAGGAGGAATCAAGCAGCAAGTGATTTTAGATCAGAGAATTATCCCGGTGGTGGATTAGGAGGTGCTCGGGTGAAGTCGAGGTCGATTAAGGATAAGTTAAAGAGATCCCATTTGCATGCATCGTCAGCGAATAAGGATACATCATCAACTCAAAATGCGGCAGTGGTTGTCCATGATGGAATCAAGGAGTTATGCAAAAAGGGGTATTGTGATGAAAACCTTGGTGAAGTTGCAAGAAGTGGGAAAATTGGGCCTAATAATTGGTGGAAGGAAGGCCATCCAAAAATAAGTAACGGGTATAGAAGCGGTTGCTTCACGTTATTTATCGAAAATCTACCAGAGAAGATCCACTGGAAGAGGTTTGGATCATTATTTTGCACCCACGGTCGGGTTATTGACGCATTCATTCCAAACAAAAGAAATTCGAAAGGGCTACGCTTTGGTTTCATTCGTTTTGCAACAATCGAAGAAGCAAGGGAAGCGATCTCAGAAATGAATGGATCTCATATTGACGGGAGCAAAGTTAGTGTATCTTTTGCTAAATTCAAATCTCGCTAGTCTTTTTGGAGAAAGACCTCTACATCAGTTCACCGTAAGTCTGAGATGGAAGGTGTTTCGAGGAAGAAACATTGTGAAGTTGAAGGTGTTATGGACGAAGATAAACTTCACGTCTTGAGTAAATGTCTAGTGGGGTGGTGCAAGAACTTTATCAAAATCGGTCATCCCGGTAGACAAATGCAAGCGAAGGGCCTCACTGGTTTCTCCTTAATGAGAGCTGCTGGAAATGCAGTTTTAATGATTTTCGAAGACTCTGTTTCATTGAGAAGTGTGAAGGACGATAAATCAGAGACTCTCGCAAAGTGGTTCTCCAGAGTAGAAGCTTGGTCAGAGAGTTTGGTTGTGGAGTGTCGTCGAGTATGGTTAGTTTGTGAGGGTGTTCCTTTTCACGCATGGAATTGGGATACTTTCAAAAACATTGCGGATAAGTGTGGTTATTTATTAGCAATCGACGAAAGCTGTCAGTCACCATCATCTTTTGATTGGGCAAAAATTCAAGTCCTCACAAAGGCTGATGTGAGAATTGATGCGACGTTGGAATTGAAGGTCGGTGACAATTCCTTCAAAATCATGGTGCATGAGATTGAACCCTCATTCAAACCAAACTCTTGGGCCCCTGACGAAGTCGAATCTTATTAGATCTTGTCTCTTCAATTGTGGCTTTGATTTAGGTTAAATGGTTATAGGTGTTGGTTTTCTTTTGTGTTACATTCTTTTATGTTGTTTTTTATCGTATTACTGGAGGTGTAACTTAGAAATAAGGTGTTTGTCTATTGTGGCTTTTTGATGAGGATGTGTGAGTTTAAGGTGTTTGTTGTAATGGTGTATATCACCATAGGAGGATATTTCATGCTCTCTTATGTATTGGGTATTATTATCAATAAACTATGATGTACTCTTTTCTTCTTTCCAATGTTCGTTAACATACTTTTTAGTATGTGAGCGAATACGAAGGGAGATTTTAATGAGACCTCCAACTTCTATCAAAAAAAGAGAACTGGCCTGAACACTATATTTTAGGAGTCTTTTTAGATGTGCTCATAGAGGGCCTTAAGGCTGTTGTGAGAATTCGCAAACCCAGGATTGTTTTCAAGGCAATGAGTTTAGCTCTGGAATTTGTGAAAAAAAAGAGGCTTTTATTGTTGGCTAAGTTCTTTGTGCCCAAATTCAACTAAAAGTAGTCTAACCTTGGCTGATTCATCATGTAAACTTGCACATGCCAGCCACCCAAATCTGCCAAAGTCCACCACCACACCTTCTCAGCCTTTCAAACGATCCGTTGGGATGTTGACTGACCGAACTGTATAACTGACCGGGTTTTTCTTTTGGTGCAATGAAAGTGCTATTTATCTTTGCAAACAAAGATGTTTATATCATCTTTGTGTAAGAACATATGTGAGATACAGATGATTGTGCTATTTATCTATGGCTGGGGTGTATTTTGATGTTTTTGGTGATTTTTCTAACAATTTCTGACTCCTGAGCTCCCCCTTGAATTGAACACCTGGACCAGCCTTTGGTATGTATTACTTAAGTTTATAGAAACTGTACGAGTCATTCCAGTTCCTGTGAAGTTTTTGATTGCTTAGCAAACTGTGTTATCTAATATCTATTGCATTTTATATGTATTTTTTTGCCATAGAATGACGGATACTATTCCTTTATTGTAATAATTGATTGAAGTAAAAATGTGTAGTTGGGAAACTTTCCAACCAGTGGGTGGTCTTCTGCCTCAGCCAGAGTGGACTGCATGGGACCAGACTGTTGAGTATTGTGCTTTTGGTTATCAACATTATATTGTCATCTCATCATTGCGCCCTCAGTATAGATACCTTGGAGATGTTGCAATAGCCTATGCCACTGGAGCTGTTTGGCAACGGAGACAATTGTTTGTGGCAACGCCAACTACAATTGAGTATGATATAGTTTTCTTACAAATCTCTCTTTTTATGTGTAATATTTTTCTGAATGATATTTCATTTCTTTTTTTAATGTGTAATATTTCTCTTTTTCTCTTCTTTTTTATGTGTAATATTTGTTAATGAATTTAAGTTGGAATTGATTTCTTGATTGATAGCTATCATGGGGTAATTCCATTAAATGCAAAAAGCGTAATTGTCAAATCTGTTAAATCTTCTCTCATTTCCTTCTTTGAGCAATATAGTGGAATCAAGAATAGTTTAAAGCCATAAGTCCTTTAATGATCCTATTCTCTAACTTTTTTTTTTTAGGTCCATATGATAAGTTTATGGAATGTTAACGGTATCGACAAGCAGAGTGTAGTAACTTGCAACTTGTATCTTTTGTGCTAAAATTTTCAGATGTGTTTTTGTTGATGCTGGAGTTGCACCCGTTGACATTGAAACAAGAAAAATGAAAGAAGAGCTAAAATTAAAAGAGGCCCAGGCAAGAGCAGTTGCTGAGCATGGAGAGTTGGCTCTAATCAGTGTGGATGGTCCTCAAACTGCCACACAAGAAAGAATAGCATTGAGACCGCCTATGTTACAGGTCAGAATTCTGATAATTATTATTGTTATTATTTTTTCTGGCGGTTGTCACTAATATAGATAGTATTTTGTGCCTTCCCTTAATCCTTTGTGTCGGTGTTTTCTTGATTTCAGTTCATTGTATTCTTTTATAGTAATTAAATGAACACATCTTGAATTTTTTCCCCAAAACTTCCTGTTTGCATGATTTGAAAGCCTAGTTTAAGAAAGGCATAATGACAAAAATAGCCCAACGTTTGCACAAATGGTGGTCACTTTGCCCCCTATTATTTTTTTTGGGAGCAATTTACCCCCTTCCCCGCAACGTTTTAATTTTGGTCAAAACAAACCTATTGGATGGATACCGTTAGTTGACAAACAGTCAACCCATGTTGCTGACACATGCCTATATCTAACACTGTCAACCATGTTCGAGTAACATAGGATAAAATTTAGGTTTAAATACGTCAGGAGTACTTGGTACTATTTCAAAACATAAAATTTATTTTCTATATTTTTACGAAATTGAGTCCCTACACTATTTTTTATTTGAATATATTGGTCCCTCCCTTAATTACTGTTCAATTTAATTTTTAATTGCTGACCTGACAGCTATAATAAAAAGGAAAAAATAACATTTTTAGTCTTCTACGTTTATAATTTTTATGAATTTGACTCTTAGTCTTTAAAAATAAATAAAAAATTATCATTAACTGAACGATACATTTTTCAGTCATATACGTTTTTACATCTTTTTAAGGGTCAAATTGACAATAAGCGTAAAGTTAATTTGCCTTTTTTATAGCTACCGGGTTAACAAATAATGGTAAAATTGAACAGAAGTTAGGGGATGGACCAAGATTTTCAAATAAAAAATAGTACATGGACTCAATTTTGCAAAAATACAGAGTAGAGACAAAATTTTATATTTTGAAATAGTATGGGGATCTTTGGCATATTTAAACATCATCTTTGGCATATTTAAACATAATTTTTTTAGTGATGTTGATTTTATCTAATGTCCCTCACAAATCCATCCTCATCATTGCTACAAAAGAACAAAAAAGAAATGAGTTTATTGCTGACATTAAGAAATCCAAATATTCAGGTATGAAGGATGGGAAATAGTGAGGATGTAAACTCTATTAATCTAATGGTTAAGCTACAAAAGTAAGAAAATGTTATGAATCTTAACTATTTGATTAACAAAATTTTCATCCTTTTTTCTATTCTTCATACTAAGCAAAGCCTAAATGTTTGCAATCACATGTTTCCTTGATAGAAAAAGCCAACCTTGGAATTACGTCAATATTTGCAATATGTTAACTATTCATTATTTGAATAGCTGATAAAATTTGGTGTTGGGGCACATTGTGTTTAAGTTATTCTACAACTTGTTGAAGATGGTAATAAAGATATTGCATTATAATAGTTTGCAACAATTGACTTCTTTCTGTACAATTAGTTCTCTCTTGCATACAATAGTAAGTGGATAATTTAGTATGTTATGCCTTAATACTTTTGTGCAACTTCTAATCTGATTAAGGTGTTTTTTTCCCTTTTCAATGTGGTTTGCTGTCAGGTGGTTCGATTAGCTTCTTTCCAGCATGCTCCTTCGGTGCCACCTTTCTTGTCATTGCCTAAACAGTATAAAGTTGACGGGGATGATGCAACAATGGTAAAAGAGATGGAAGAAAGAAAAGTTAATGAGATTGCTGTTGGTGGTGGTGGGGTCTCTGTAGCAGTTACCCGTTTTCCAACTGAGCAGAAACGACCTGTGGGACCACTTATTGTGGTTGGTGTAAGAGATGGCGTCCTTTGGCTTATTGATAGGTATCTTGACCTGCACTCAGAAATTCAATGGCTTGCCAATGAATTTCAACACTGTACTTAATAATTTCCCTCCATTTTTCTCTTTATTTGTTTTGTGATCGATTTTTTATTTTTGTGTAAGGGAATGAATTGGGCACCTTACCGTTTTAATTCTAGTCCATTGCTTGTAGAATTCAAAATTGTTACGTTTTATTGATGAACCTCTGATTATTGCTGGATTTTGTTATTAATAGGCATGTTTGCTTGATGATGCCATTATGTGTAATTCTTCCATTAGTTTGCTTGTGTTGCCTTGAAACTATTATCCATTGATATATATCCCTTTATCTTTTATGCTTTTATGGTAGTACTTTTCCCGCATTCATCTCCTTCAGTTACTTTCTCATGATGTATGCACCTAGCAAGCCTGTAATTCTTGTTGCATGATTATATAAATGATTCATATAAGAACTGATTTTGGGGTGTGGTTCCTTGATTAGAAATGCCCAATCCTTTTCATGTCATGTACTATTCAGGTGAATTCATGCAGAATAGTAATCTGAATTATCAAATACTGATTTATGTTACAAATTACCATTTGTAGGTACATGAGTGCACATGCCTTATCTCTGAGTCATCCTGGCATTCGGTGTCGGTGTCTTGCTGCTTATGGAGATGCTGTTAGTGCAGTCAAATGGTATAAAAATTCTATTTTCTATTTGTAATGAGACTACATTTTTTTTGTAAACTTACATTATTTTTATCTCCAGGGCAAGTCGGCTTGGCAGGGAACATCATGATGATTTAGCACAATTTCTACTTGGAATGGGCTATGCTACTGAAGCACTTCATTTACCCGGGATATCCAAGAGGTTTCCCTTTCCCTTTTTGTTTATGATTTCTTCTATGTTTATGGTGCCTATGGCTGGTGTGTTACGGTTTCAATTTCGAAGAACTAGTTCTTTCATCAAAATTTCTATATTAGGTTGACCCCCTTGTATACAAACACTTGCATTTACATTCTTTTTTCTTTCCATTTGTTTACGTTTGTGCATGGCTACTTTCACGAGGGTTTAGAAGTCTATCCATTATACATAAGCATGGCTACTTTCACATGAGGGTTCAGAACTCTTGTGCTCAGAGTTGTAATCGAAATCGCCAACTCGCTTTGTTGTAAGTTGCGTCTGAGTGTTGTTATCCTTTGAGAATAACATTTTGCAAATTATCTACAGTAATTATCAGACCCAGAAAAGATTTGAGTTTACTGGTACCGTTCAGAGTTGGCCATTCTCTGATGACATTCACCTCGTCCATATGCATATGGATATACCCCTGTTTTATGATGTGTCCCAAGAATTGAATCTTTGTTTAGCAAAAGCACATTCCCCTTTTTATAAACAATTGGTTCTCTCTAGCACCAATTGAAGAAGCTTGTGATGCTCTTCCACGGTAGAGCTATAAATCATGATGTCAAGATAGATGACCACAAATTTCTCAAGATAGTCTTGGAACACCGAGTTACACAAGTAGGTTTTGATTTATCTCCTGCAATTCGCACTTGATGATACTCATATTTGTGATCTAACTTGGTAAAATGCTTGGCATGGGTCAACTGTTTTGGTATGACATCTTTTGAGTCTTCGATCGACTCCCCCACTTGATAACCTATCCACTGTCCACCCAAGTATCATTACTGGTATGACTTATCTATATTATACGATTAGGATTCAATTTCTTAGGAGATAAGTTACTGTTTTAGCATCATCTATTTTTGTACAACCAAAAGTAGCATCCCGAGAAATGAATGTGAAATATCTCCATTATTGATTCTGCTGTATGCTTTAGAAAGTAGTGGAAGAAATTCATGGTTGAAGTGCTGTGCTTGTTTTAACATTGAAGAAAGCATTCTCCATGAATCTATATATTTTCCTCTCTTTTTTTTTTCATATTTATGACAATTAGAATGTAAAACCCTCAACCCGGATCCGAGTCCGAGGTGTCACATCAACTTTTAAACCTTTACTTGTTCAAAATAATGAAAAATCCCTGTTAAAGAAAACTTCTTATTATTTCAAAATAAAAGTTTCCACACTTATCAGATTATATACAATTCAAATCGTTTATATGACATGCCAACTATATCTAAAAGAATAAAATACATATCAAACATTTCTTTTCTGATCTGAACTTTATAAGAAAGATGCTGACCTGTTTTGCTCCTCTCAGCTTCTATTTTCACTTTCTGTAACCTGCGTGTGAAACACTCACAAGCTAAGTCGATGACTTAGTGAGGCATAAAAAAACACATCTAATGAAATTCATATCCACTAATCATGCATGACTGTTTTATGCTATCAAATCATACAACTCTTATACTTTTTCCATATAACAATTACATACTTGTGCACATACATGTCATCATTTATATTTTTATCGTACTCTTATACTATTATACTTCATATCTCTTATTTCTTGTTCATGTGATCTCTTACTTTCATATTCTATATCTTATAACAAATTCTTATATCATCATCTAAGTCATTTATACTCATTCACATATACATCAACATATATTCATGTATATCATGTAACAAATGCAATCACCCATATCACACATATATCATGTCATACAATTCATATCACACATCATATACATATATTACATACATTGTTTTCACAATTATCTCTTTATTAGCCCATGTACACATGTGAGAACTATATATATGTGAGTCTATAGAGGTTGTGAACTAATGCTGTCACCATAGTTTGTATAAATGCACCGAAGTGCCACGTAGAATTGCACCGAAGTGCCACGTAGAATTGCACCGTAATGCCGCGTAGAATTGCATCGAAGTGCTATATAAGGTTGTCCCTAAAGACCACGTAGAAAATTCCTTAAGAATCATATACATATGCCAAGGATCAAGTATGTGTCTCAAAAGACCTCACACATGTTCCAAAGAATACATATATGTCCCGAAAGACCGCGTAGACACACGACTCTTGGCATGCCAACTATACCTCTAGCTCTCATGTCACATAACATGGGCATAAATATTTATGTTAGCATACATTCACATATACACAGTCACATAGTTCTTTCACATAGCTCATTGTCATATAAATCAAATATCACATATACATATAAACACATGGTTCATTTATGCGTAGAACATTTTCATATAATTCACATATCACAGAGCTTATCACATATAATTGTATTCTTTTTCATATAATCACATAGTCATATAATATTTCATACGACATACTTTCTCTTTCATATATCTCATGTCACGTATCATATCTTATGATCATGTAATCATGTTACTTATAATAACATAACTTCTACTCATAGGGTTCAACATCATTAAACTTAGTTCACTTTCCATATTATCATACATTTATATAATCTTATATGTCCTATCATTAACCTATAAACTTACTCATATACTCATATATACTCTTTAATATAATTTGTATAGTAATACTCTATAATTGTATCATATATTTGAGTTTACCTAAGTCTTCCTTTATAAAGTTTATACTACCATTTCAAATAGTCTCATTCTATCCTATACATAGTTTCTACTTATCTTATCTCACTTCCCCTTTCACTCACATAAATCATCTATATACTAGTTTTATCTATTTATTTAGTTCAATTTCCATGACTTCTATAATACTCTTTCATAAAGTGTTGTAATTCTTCACTTTATAACTCATAACCCGTAGTTTCCTTTAAGTATATAAATCTTTCCTATATAACTTATGTATCATTACTTATGTTTATACTCTCAAATTTATACTATCCTCATAGAGTCTCTTAACCTTTCTTGTGTAATCACTTATACCATATAATATGACTTATACTTGGTTATCTTATGTTCACACACACACACACACACATATATATATATATATATATATATATATATAAATATCAATATAATCAGCTGCCCTTGCAGCCTGCAGCCCTTCTCTTCCACAAATGCTAACACCAATATCGGCTTGTTGTTGAGAGATTAGTTCCAGTTCACTAAAGATTATAAATTTATAACTAAACCATGAGTGAGAAAAGTAGAGAGAGAAAGAGAGCGGGTGCGTTTGGTCGTTCATTCTCCGGTGAGGAATGGACTGTTTTTGTTGGAAATCTTAGTAAGAGAGTTACCAGAAGTGAGTTAAGAGAGATTTTCAACCATTATGGTAGAATAGTGAGGGTCTTTATCCCAAGTTTTATGGTTAAAACGAATTATAAGTCATCAACGTTTGCTTTTGTGCAATATGCGGTGGAGGAAGGTTGCAGAAGAGCAGTTATGAATGTAAATGGAACGTTGATTGATGGGAAGAGAGTCACTGTGGGGGTGGCTAAGTATAAGAGGGGCAGGAAGAGAGATGCAGAGGTTAAAAGATCTCAGCTGGAAGGAATTAAGCCATTTAGAGAAGCTAATGGTAGACAGCAGGTTGACTTGGAGTCACCGAGAAGTTTGAGAGATGGCAGAACGTATAAGGAGGTTGTGAATGTGGATAACAGTAGGAGTGTGGATCAACAAAGAAGGGTGAACATGGAAGGTCAGAAGAAAGCAAAAGGAGTAAGAAATGTCTGGGATATGCACATCCCATCAGAAGATTTTTGCTGGGTGAAAAATTCCTTAACAGGGATTTTTAAAGATACATTTCAGCCTGTTATGGTGGTGCGAGCTTTGGCAAAAGAGGGGTTCCAGGTCAAGATAGTAAAGTGGGGATACGTTAGGAACGCATGCATTATTATCTTCAATACAAATGAAGAGTTCCTGAAGGCGTGGTCGAGTCTTAGAGAGAAACTTTACTGCTGGTTTGATTGGGTAGATCCATTGTTGAGTGAAGATGGAGTCCCTTTGGCTTATTGCTTGGTCGAGTTGGTTGGGTTACCGCTTCTTAGTTGGAGTATTCCTTTTCTAGAGAAGCTTGGAGGAAAGTGGGGAAAGGTTGTTTGTATCCCGGAGGGAACTAGAAACAGAGATGACCTCTCTTCGGCTAGAATGCTGCTAAGGGTGGCAAGTCCGTTCGATGTACAAGAATCTGTTATTGTAGGATCTTATGGCAGATCGTTTAAAGTTAAAATTAATGTGGGATCCAGCTCTAATGCTTTCTCTGAAGCTTATGGAGACGTGAGGCAGACTGTGTCATTTGGCAACTGCAATGACGAAGTGTCAAAGGAGGAAGATGGTAGAAACAAAGATAAGGTAGGAGACAACAGGGAGAACTCTGCAGAAGGTTTCTGGTCAAAAGTTGACACGTGGCTTCAGAAAAGTCAAGAAAGGAGGACGTTAGAAGAAGGTGGAGAACAGGATTTGGAAAATAAGTCAGACACTCTGCCCAATAGTAATGGGGTGTCAGACAAGTTTGAATTTGAATTAAATCCCAAGGGGGAGTTTGCAGGCCTTGGGCTGAGAGAGGTTGCAGTCCAGAGTTCAGCCCATTCGGAGTCTAATTGGGAGGCTTATTCTCCTGTTACTAAAATTATTCCAGCTGGCCCTGCTGTGAAGTTGAATTGGGCTAGGCTAGCAAACAAGAATAAGGAGCAGAATCTGTCTGAATTTTTTGCAGAAGAAAGAAGTGTATCAATAGAAGAAGGAAAAAATGGGGATATGGAAGATGAAGATATTATGATAGGTTTGTCAATTAGGAGTGCTCCTGTTGGCAGAAGGGGAAGAGGACGCTATGCCCGAGTTTATAAAAGGTCAAGAGATAGAAGAATATGGTTGTGTCCAGCTATTGAAGATGATGTCTTCTGTCCCATGGCTTCTCCGAAGCTTAAGCAGAACAATTCTGTTCCTAGAAGTATAAAGCAGTTTCCTACGAATAGTATTGGAAAGGGACAAGATAAGGACTT